GGATAAAGATGCTGGAAAGATTACGGATTCAATCCCTTATTAAAAATAATCACGTGTTCTCATACGATCCCCTTCTTCCACATGAAAATCTCTTGAATTGCATGTTAAATATGACTTCCCTACGACTTTAATGAATTTCACATGTGACTCCCATCATCTACATGAAAATCCTTTGAATTTCACGTTATTGACGAATTTCATCTGATTCTCATCTTCCACATGTGGGTCACATGTCACATGTATGATGAGGTATTTTTTGCTTAGGTATTCCATGTTTCTTTCGACTTTTGATCATATAGTACGACGGATTATTAGGGCAAGGCTAGAGATTTTTTTTCTTCTATTTCGAGAATAAAGTTGTAACATTACGAGAATAAAATCGTAAAATTATGAAAATAAAGTCGTAAAATTATGAGAATAAAGTCGTAATATTACCAGAAAAAAAGTCACAACAGGAATAGTCCTAAAATTACGAGAATAAAGTCCTAATATTAAGAGAAAGTCCTAAAATTACGAGAAACTAGTTGTATTTCATGACAACTCTTACAAGAACCACTTTCTTTCCTAAAATGAGGAACATCGAGCATCATGTGAAGTTATACTTTGGCTCTGGTTTGACAAATAAGGAAATCTTTTAGCACCAGCATCAAATTGGGCAGACTGTCAAAGTGGACTCAGGTTGCTGTTTTGGTGATGCTGGTCAGAGCTCAAAGCTTTTTTTATTAAATAGTTTGTTGTATGATGACTTCATTCTAGTAATATTACAACTTTATTCTCGTAATGTTACGACTTTATTCTCAAAATAAAAAAAATCTCTAGCCTGGTCCTAACACTCTGTCGTAATATAGAGAGAGAACTTGTGATCACAATTCTTTTCCACATGTGCACCACTGTTTTTTTTTTTTTTTTTACATATGAATATCATTAGTATGGGCTCTATGTAGTACCTTTATTCCATTACTCAAAAATCCAAAAATCCCATGTATTTAACACCTGAAAAACACATGTGAAACTCACGTACCCCATTTGAAATCGACATGACTTAAGACTTAGAGAAACTTTATTGTCATTTTGTACACACAGGGTGTATGCAGCGCGAAATTTCATTCAGTACAGCTCTCAAGACATTTCCATTTCTTAAAGTGCAGCAGTGATAAAATGTAAACATGGTGATCAAATATAAACATAACACTGAGATATGATTTAGTTTTTACAACATTCAGTTTTTTTTCCCCCCGTTTTATTCAACATTAAGCAGTCTAACGGCAGTGGGTACATGTGGTAGCACATGGTATTACATGTGTTCATGTGGCTTTGGAAGTTTAATGATAAAATCGCATGTGAAAACATGAATTACATGTGATGCACATGGTTCCATGTGCTTCACATTTGAAACACATATGATTCACCTGTGATTTACATGTGATATACATGGTTTCAAATTTTATCACATGTGAATCACATGCTTTTAACATAAAACATTCCAAATCCACACGTATACATATGCTTCATATGTAGTACCAGATGTTAATTTGACATTTGACACCATTTGTTTATTTCACATGCGGAACATGTGTTATGTGTGATTTTGACATACATGGGATATTAGTTTAAGGGATAGATCAAACAGTAGGAGAAAAGTTTCAGAACTTCAGAGAGGCTAAGTTTTCTCTATACTGGGAGTCTGTGTAGTCATCTTACTGGAAGGCCTTAAATGAAATAAGAAACTGCATCAGAAACCATTCATCCTGAAAAGGGGGATGTTTTGACTGAAGGACTCCAACAAATTCTATTCCAGACTTCAGGTTATTGATGATGACTCAGTGTGGAGTATTTTAGCTCATTTAGTTCTTAGAAAACCAAACATGAATATTACTTTGGAGCTGTAATCATTCATTGAAACCCTGAGCCCATAATTATTCATTTTCCGCCAATCTGGCTCCGGTGGGGAGAAAAAAAAAACGAGGCATCTCTGTTCGCTGCATTTGGGAAGCTACCCGGTTATTAAAGTCGTGGCTTCCTGTTGCCAGCTGGAGGAGACCCAGACCCAGACTTCTTCTCTGCACTACAGTCTCTTTGGGTTGGGATGAGGCTTAACAGGGCTAATGTGTATCACTGTTTGTGCGTGCGGATATGCGTGGTTCCCTGACAAACAGGCACAGACATGATGGCACGCATGGTAAGCAAGAGTATACAGAAGTTCTAATCAAAAACATGACTGCAAGAAACGCAGAGAAGAGAGCAAAAATCTGATCAGGAGACATTATGTCTTAAATACATTTAGCCCAAAAAGAAAAGATACAGATTGGAGTAAAAACAAATAAGCATCTAGCCAGGCCTGCTCAGTCGGCCCTCGAGGGCCGCTGTCCTGATGGTTTTAGAGATTTCACTGCTTCGGCACAGCTGATTCTGATGATTGCATTTCAGCAAAAGCCTTTTAATCAGCTATCAATGGAAATCAGCTGTGCTGAAGCAGGGAAACCTCTAAGACCTGCAGAACAGTCGCTTTTGAGGACTGACTTTGGGCAAGCCTGATCTAGACCTAATCCTAACATTTGTTAATAGAGGTTGGTGCTGTCTTATTAAAGAAAAATAATCACTAATATAGCAAAGTTTGATGCATTGGTATGGAATGATAAAATAGATCTTCTTTGCCTGGGAGTAACATTTTTCCAACAGAAACCTTCTTAAGCTAGCCAGAGTTTCTAAAGCATTTCATGCCGATGGGAACCCATCCCTGACTGTGAAACGGACCAGAGCTCACAGCCTGGCACAATAATAGGTTCTGGTCAGGGTACTGTTTAAACCCAGGATTGGTTGGTTTTCTTTGTCAATGTTTTTCAGGCTGGCAGTTATAACATTTGTCTTTAAAGTAACATGCCAGACAGAAGGACCAGTGCTGTAAAGTATTTACAATCCAGGAGTCCATTTTTGCCTTTAGAGTTGTTTTCGTCAGCTATGATGATGATGAAAACATTTAATTGATGAAGCTGGTTTTCCCAATGATAGCGAGATGATGACAAAATAAACATGGCTCTTAGATGACAAAAAAAAAAAAAAAATGAGGAGAGGCAGGAGTTTTCGTTATCAAGGCGAAGACGAAACGAAAATGTTAATTATGATTTGTTGGACAAACAAAACCAATGGCATTTCTGCCTATTGTTAATCTAATCTGTTAGTCCAAAGCTGAAGAATAAACAAAGCTTCACCACATCATGTGTTTATTTGGCCCCTCAACATGTTAAAGACAGGGTTGGTGGTCAGATGCCACGGAAAATTAGGCATTTTTGTCAAAAGGGTTATTCTAAAACTAAAACTTACCAGGCAGCAAAAAACATCTCTTGCCCTTACTCTAGGTAAATAAACTTCTATAGAGCCGCAAAAAAAAAAAAAAAATTTTTATATATATATGTGTGTAGAAAGAAATATATATATAAATTTCTTTCTACATATATTTTTTTGTTTTTCCATTTTCCATTTTCAAAGAACCAATGTGTTAATCAAAAAAGGTAAAACTTGCTTTTTCTTTTGCAAAAAATAGGATGAAAAAAAAATAATTTTGCTTAAAATCTAATGGAAAGAAAATTGGATCTTAAAAAAACAGTACTGCTACCTTGGAGATAAATCCTTTATGCAAAGTTAAAGCAGTCATCTCATAAACATAATGTAAACAATAGCGGTATTTGTTATGTAATCTAAATTCTAAGGTACTTATTGTTTTCTGTGGAAGTTAATAAGAGTCACTGTCAAAGGGCTGCTTTCAGCTCAAGTCTATAGAGTGAATTTTGTTTCTTTATTGTTGCAACCAAAGAACCTATTTTCTAACTTTGTTATTAAAAATTTTTTTTCCCCACAATTCTTTTCAGATTAAATTTTTTACGTTTTATTTTTCAGATTTTCTTAAAGTTATAATCAAAATAAAAATTTTCCCTTTTCTCTTTTGAGTTTTAAAATATATATTTTTTTCAAATTGTGTTTTACAGATTGCATTCTCTTCACTTAAGCCTCAATCTGAGAAGAGAAATGAGAAAAAACGTCAAATTTAAAAATATAAAATCTGTAAAAAAAAAAAATTCAGTTCAGAAAGGGGAATTTGAAAAAATAATAATATATGAAAATAAAAGGATAAAAAAAAAATAATAGAAAATTTTATTAAAAGCTTTTATTCTAGATTTCCATTTATAAGCATGTTCCCTTACAACAATAACGGTAGAAAACTAACTCCATACATACACTCCATATGTTGCAGACCCCTGCTTTAAAGGATATACCTAGGGAGGAATGCTAGCCAGGCAAACTGCACTGATTTTATCCGTACATACAGCGGATCACTCTAAAAAGCAAACAGCGTGGATCACAAAGCCAGGACACAAGAGAAACTAAACAAACAAAAACATTTATTTATTTTTAGAGAAAAAGTGCATCAAATTGTCGAGGTTTTAAAGATATATCAGCTCATTTAGAACATTATAAAGGGCCTTATTAAAACATCGCCATCCTGACTGTTATGGTTGCAGAAAATCACTGTTGCATTATGGGTAACTTGCACTACAGGCAAATTTCCACCTCCTGCATGGCAATTGGTCTGTTAAGTTTTAGACTGAGTCTGAGCGAACTAGTCTGAAAACAAAGGGTGTAAGTCGGTCTTTTAGGAAAGGCTAAGGAGTGCTAGCTGCACCACCCATTGTTTTATTAAAAACAATCAATGCTGTAGTAATGTTAATGTTAAACAGAATAAATTAAATCTGAGCTGCAAAGAGCAATAAAATCTCACGGCAACCAAAATGTCAAACTTCTTGAAAAGAAGGTAAAACAGAGTTAGTGTTGAGGTAAACTCCAGACCCCTGAATCCCACAGCATCTGGACAGTTTGCATGATTAGTGTGTGCTAAACTGCTTAACATTTTTCTTTTAAGGCCCCACTGTGATTACCGCCCTGAAATGATGATAGCAGACAGGAGAAGGAAATGGTCAAATGATGAGTCGGTGTGATCGTCCTACCGCTCTGAAACGGCTTTCATGAATTCATCTATCAGGTCGTCGTAGGCCTGGCCTCGGATTCTCTTATGCCTCAAGCCGATGTAAAGGGGATCCTTCAGCAGTGCCTGAATAAAAAAAAAAAACAACACATAAGAGGAGTGTGCTCAGTTTAATCCCTTTTGACATTTTAACATCATGCCGAACTCAACAAATGCAGTTCACAGCGGATCATCTGCCTCAAATAATCAGTGATTCCTTTAATGATTTATTTCAATTTTCCTACTATAAAGATGGAAGGAAAGAGCAGGAAAAAAAAAAAACATCCCAACATGAACCCTGACTAGCATTTCTGCAGTTCTTGGACCTCTGTGATAATGTGAGCCATGTGTTACGGTGGTGAAAGGCTCCTCCTGGGACAGTTTCGCACCAATCTGCACACACTTCTCAGATTCAAGCAAATCCTTGGGTCCAACAATATGTTCATGATTTATAGAGTGTGGCTATTACTAAAAAAGCTGTTCGATCCTTCATATTTGATTATTCTGAAAAGGCCACGCATCACTTTAACCATGTGTCTAGATTTTAGCTGTAGGAAACAAAGTTTAGTTTGGGGGAAACTGAGCCAAGTGGGTAAAGAAAAGCTGTGGGTGGGGAGATTAATGAGATCTTTTGACCAGAAGATCACAATATTACATGGAATGACAAATCAAAACCATGAGTGGGAGTTTATAGAAAATGGACACCACTGTGAACCATCTGGAAAGAAAAAAACAACAGTTTTGACTTTGGTGGAACAAAAGGTCATTTAGACCATTTTTTTGACTGAGCCTCTCAAGACAATGGTTATGCTATGATTTAAACCATTCCATTGGGGTGCTGGCTGTATGTTTAGGGCTATTATCCTCTCAGAAAATGGATCCTCTGTTCAATTTCAAATCTTTGGCAGCCTCCAACACATTCTTCTTCCAGCATTGCCCTGTGTGTATCTCCATCCATAGTCCAATATAGTGTTCCCTCTAAGCATCTCTGCAGCACAATGTTGCCAACACTGCATAAAGATTTAGAAATTTGAGTTCCATCACTTGGATATTGTGAAGGGGCATAGCTAGATGGGTGGTCAAGGGTGGGCATGAGTGATTTGTTGGTCCCATGTCAACGTAATCATCACCTCCGAAAAAGGCAGCTCCACCCCAAGACATAGGGTGGCAGCAGTGATACTCTTAAGTAAAAAGACCTGCCAAGATTGCAGTTTTAATTGTTAGGGTATAAACCATAAAATAACAGCAATGTTTAGTTTTTTTTTTCAACATCAACAAACATTAAAGACAAATACAGAATTCATGCTCTTTTCAGAACAAGTGTTTGTTTTATGGGGAAGAAGGCAAAGAAAGGTATGAGTGTCTGTTTGTGTAGTGTATTTTCCAGACTATAAGCCACACTGACTAAATTTTTTGAAAAAACTCGAGAAGTACATCTATAAGCAGTACCATGCTATAAGCCGGTGACATCTACTGAACTGTCTGCCAGTTAATCTGTAAGGGGGGGAGGGGGGGGCTGTATATATAGCCTCTAGAGTAGGGATGCAGAAGAAAGGCAGCTCCCATTAGCTTGTTGACTCACTGCGGGAAAACACGTCCCGTCCGTCCTGCGCATGCGCCATCAGTTCATTTGCGCATGTGCATCCAGATATACATTTTATTTTGTTAAAAATACCTAAATGACATTTTTACCTCGCCAAAAATAGTAAGCGTACTAAAGTATATAGTGTTAAAGGTTAATAATGCATTTCCTGTCAAAATAAATGCCTTAAAATCCTTTCTGTTTGATCACTCGTCTGTTCCCGATCTGCATCGGAAATAAGATCCTAGTCTACTTCTGGGAGCTAACTTTTTCGGCTTAAACACAAATCTAGTCTTTTTGAGTTTTATGTTTTCCTTTCATGGTATAGAGTGAATAATCTAAAGAAAGAAACAACTAATGTACTGATTTGTAAACCTTTCTTAAGAACTGAAGCGAAGCGATAACAAAAAAATATCTTTATTACAAAACTCAGTGTTTACAAAAAAACAAGAAAAAGATTTGCCGTCTAATCGACTAAATCCGTAGTGAAAGTTAAACTTACAAATAACCTAAACGCCAAAAAACTGTTGCTCCTCCTCCTGCTCTATTAAAACATCTAAAGCGCTGCCATGCCCCTAAAACAAAACTGTGCGCGTGACCTTAACTATACACAGGACATTAAAAGGAGCCTAATTAAGTGATATGACATAACCACAAAATATAACCAAATGCTTAATAAAATATAAAGTATATTTCAATAACTCAATTCTAATTAGATATAATGTAGAGATAAACATAATTTCTATATGGATCTAACAACTAAATGCAGATTAACATGGTTTAATCATATTTTGCTGGACTGCTCTGAGCATGTCCCATGATGACGTCAGAGAAGCAGTTTAACGAAGAAAATGTAAAAAGCATAATTGTCTCACAAAAGTCATAAAACGTTTCTTAAAGATATGTATTAGCATTCCTTAGAAAGTTAATGATATAAAAAAGTAATTTTAGTACCATAATTACATTATTTATGGACACCCGGATGTATATCTGTTCGCGCATGCACAGGATGGATTGTGCTTCGGGACGGATCGGGTTGTGACAAGAGCTTCTACTAAAAGATGGGGCTTCATCAGCTCTTATTTCCAGCTCCACAGGAGTTAAGCCCAATCTATTCACTGCTAGCATGTTATTGTGCTAAATGAAAATTAGCCCGTTATTCTTTTATTTTTCAACTGTGACTTCCCCCTCATAAGGTCAGGAAAAATCCACAGAAAAGCTGCACCTTCTTATAAGCCGCACTGTTCAAAGTGTTAGGAAAAAAGTAGCATCTTATAGTCTGGAAAATACTGTAATTATAGATAAGTAATAACTAAACTAATTTATTGTACGTGGTAATGTATGTATCATACATATAGTACTATAAAAAGTTATTGAAGAAACTCCCAAACTACTTTTTGAGTAACCGCACATGTGTAAGACCATCCTACCAACTCTTCCACCTTTGTGTGAAAGAATTTCCCAAATACTCTTTGGACTTATTTCTTTGCTTTACCTTCCTCTTCTTCTCTTTAAAAAAAAAAAAGCTTAAAACCAACTTTCTTAATTTAGCATTTAATTCTGACTAGGCTAACACTGTCTCTTAGATGTCCTCTTTCTGTGTGCTAATTTCTATACACTTCTGGAAGGCTTTAAATGTCCTGCAGCACTGCACCACTACAGCACTTTTAATTGTATCTGTATATTTTGTATGTGTTATGTATTGTTTTATGGCTTTGTTGTAAAGCACTTTGCGTACCATTTGGCAATTGTAAAGGGCTATACAAATAAACTTGATTGATTGATTGATTCTAATGCAATTACAATAAAGCTTGCTTCTTGTGACTCTATGCCATTATTAAATGAAACAGTGAGACTAGGAGCACTACAACCAAAGCTAACTGGATAAATAAACACTAGAAGTGTGCAGGCACATGTGTTAGTATTAGGCAATCATCTTATGATAATCCCCCTGGGACTCGAAGCCAATAGAACTATACACTATTAAAATTCTAGTCTTTCTTCAGTGATTTATTTGGAAAATATGATTATTTTACTCTTTCATTTTTTTTTTTCTGTTGGTATAGTGTGATTACTGTAGATTGACCGTAAACTGGTCCAGGCGCCTATATGTTTGCAATCTTTGTGCTTTGTGCCCTGCTTGGCCATACCTAAGAACATTTTCTGGCTATGCCACAGGAAAGTCTGCTCAGTGCAATGTGCTTCGACAGTTTCTTTTACCACGCCTATCCTTGGCATGTCAGCCATGTTTACCGTCTCCACCACATGGCCTTTAACCAACTGCTTCTTCCTCAGCAACAGCTTTCTTCATGCCAGTCTTCTATAAAGCCCTGATTTGTGGAGCCAATGGCTGATAGTCAACAGACTCTTCCTCCAGTTACTCCTGAGTAACCAAGGGTCACTGCGCTGCTACTTAAATAGCCTACTGAAGGGAACAGCAATATCTTGGTCGGTTTGCAGCTGTGCGATTCTTTTATTTCAGTATTGAATACAGAATAACAAGAGCTAAATCCAAAGCTTAAGATGGTATTTGAAATCCTAACCCTGCTTTAGATGCCTCTACAACTTAATCCCTGACCTGTCTTCTCATGATGCTGTTAGCTCTTCACATAACACCTTCATTTACACTGAAATTACTAATGAGGTGACTTCTGTGGCCAGGTGGTTTCACATGATTTTATTTAGAGGTATCAGAGTAAAGTAATTATAAATGCAAGTCACAATTTTTTTAGATTCAATCGAAATACAGTCATTGCTTTGATTTAATTGCACATCCAAGAAGTAGCTTGTGTCAGTTTTAAGTTGCATATAGAGTTTGATAAAAAAAGAACAGTTCTTACACCTGTGAGACACACAAAAAAAGGAGTTTCTCACAACCTGTAATATTTGTTTAAGGGATTACAGAATCCTACATTTGGTAAACCGTTTCCAAGGTTTATCTCACATTAACATTTTGTTCCAGAGGTCTGTGAACTGCTCAGCAGCTCGTTATGCCCTACTGGTCTGGACAGATTTCATTTCTAGAGATGTCAAATTAAAGGCTTCCATGAAGATAGACAAACAGCGACCTTTCCATGGCATGGTCAACCGTCAGCACATCCAAGAACAGCTCAAAGGGCTTATTCTGGTCAACATTTATTTAAAGATGACAACTCATTTCCTGGAAAGTCCTGAACGGATAGTTAAAGGGACAATTCATCCGAGGTCAGCAAAGCAAGGAAATCCTTTTTTTCCCTTGTATCTCACAAGGAAACTTGTGTTTCCTTGTGAGATTATGATAAAAATTAGACAGAAAAGATGCAGAGGAAAGACTAGAAACAGCCCAAAGAAAGGCTGTGGGTTCTATGGGTTCATTTGGAAACAGTGACCAAACCTGTTTAATGGCTGAAAGAGAAGACGCCCTGAGTGGTTTTAAAGCGGCCTGATCTTATTGACTCTGTGATGAGCTGTTGACATGAGTTGTCCTTCTGTCCTAGATTATCTTCTGTTAATTGACTGAGCTGTC